TTTGTAATACAACATTTTTTAGACCATCCCAATTGGGTTAATAATTAATCCCTTTTGTCCACAAAATATTACTGCGGGAAATTTCAAAAGCAGAAGGTTTAATCGGTTTATCCGATGATTAGATGATGAGATGACGAATATCAAAATATTATTTTTATATCAAGTATTTTCAAAATAGAGGATGCATTTACGCTATTTTGACACAATTCATACAGTAATACGGTAGATCCAAAATACAAGAGATAAAAAAAAGTTTATTTCTATTAATAAATTTTATTTTCGTGACATTATTTCCTTTTGTTATTGCTATGTATGTAAAATATATTCAGAAAAAGTTTAACAATATAAATAATATAAAAAAAATATTTTTTAAACCAATAATTTTTTTTCTTACAAAAGTGTTGTCATTCGTTACATGGGAGAACAATTAACGTTAATGGTTTAACGCGTAACGCGTTATTCAAAAAAGGATAATTGTAAATCCTTCTAAACACTTTTGATACTTCTGATACTCATGATACGGCTGAATAATTGAATACAGTGATTACTTTTTTGTATTCTTGTATTCTAAGAGCAACATTTCAATATTATGTTAGAAGTTGGATTCCGTTACACAAGAATAATGAGTAATTTAAATTATGACCAATAATGATAATTTCATTATATTTAAAATCGATTGTTTGACTTTTGGATATAATAAAATTTAATAAATTTTATAAATTTTTTTAATTTTTTTTTCGTGTAGTTGTAAGTTGATTAACTTTGCATATTAAAATATATAAAATTCTGATGTTATTTTTATTTTTTTATTTTTTATTTTTATTTTTTTTTTCTTTTTTGTTAAAAAAAATTTANTTTTTTTTTCTTTTTTGTTAAAAAAAAAAAAAATAAAATAAAATAATAATAATAAATATGGATCAACATACCACTTACATTATTATACATTGCATTAAACGAGTTATAAACAAGTTTTTTCTATTACATCTATAATACATGTAAAGTGATTTTAATATTGTCCATGTAACTAATGAGAATATTATAAGAAGTAATGGGTATCTAAATTTACAAACTCTTTTTTTTTTACATGTTTCGAATTTAAATTTACTAAAAGGCTTAAAAAAGATACGATTGGATATAAATTTTCAAAATATTTTGTATTAAATATTAAAAAAATATTAAAATCATATAAATCACACAATTTCACAATATTTTATAAAATGAATTAAACTTTATAAAGTAATTGACCGAGTCATAAAAATCTAATATGTACATATACGAATTGTTTTACAACACACACAATGTTCCTTCTGAGAATATTAATCGTATTTCCAAATTTAGGGATAATTTTCAAACTTGTTTATTGTTCAAAAATTCGTTTTAAATAATATTACCTCATTTTTAGTAAGACAACTTTGGTCAGGTTACTAAGTTAATAATATTTATTATTATAAGTGTGTTAAGTTTTACCAAAGTTACTAAGTAATCAACTAAAGTACAAGTGTTCAGAAACACACGAACAGGGGAATTATAATTTATATCATTATATCATTGTAAATAATTGTAATATTCCCATTAATATTCCACGTTGTTTTGTTACTTTTCCCTAATTAATAAATTCTTTGTTCTTCTTTTTAAGATATTCAAATAATTCATCCCTTTTACCTTTACCTAAACTTTTTACGTATTATACATTTTTAGTTTTCAAATAATGATACCATTAAATTTTCATCCAGTTAATATTTATCTTTTTACAAATATTCACGCATTCGTACATTTTTAAAGCATTACTTTATTTTGTGTTTTTGTGTTCGCATATCGAAATTTATCTTTAATTTATTAAAAAAAGATACGCGAAATTTTTAAAAAAAGATTAATTAATTTACAAAGGGGAAAAAATAAAAAAATCCTTCCCCCCCTTTTTTTTAATTAAATTAATTTTGATAATTTCTTTCTCATTCTATCGTCGTTTTCTCCTTTTTTTTTTTAAGGTTACATTAAAGAAAAATACCAATAAATTAATCTTTTTTTGTTTTGAAAAAAAAGAAAAAAAAAAGTAAAAAGTATAATTTTTCATATAAAAAAAACAAAGGTATTTTTTTTGAATTTACTTTTGGTTTAAATGGAAATATTTTTTTTCATTTTAAAAATGTTAATAATGTTAATAATGTAATATAGAACAAAAAAATAAATAAATAAATATTTTTTTTTTTTTTTT